GGACTGGGAGGGATTGGGATGGACTGGGATAAACTGGGAAGGACTGTGGAGGACTGGGAGGGATTGGGATGGACTGGGATAAACTGGGAAGGACTGTGGGGGACTGGGGGGAATTGAAGTGGACTGGGAGGTAATTGGGAGGAACTGGTTTATAGTGTTCCATACTGGTCCCTAACTGGTTTATACTGGCCAGTGCCAGTCCCTAACGGCTCATACTGGCCCATACTGGTTCATACTGGCCCATACTGGTTTATACTGGCGACTCACCCGTCCCGTCCCCGCCGCTCTCCTCCTCCTCCTCCTCCTTCTTCTTCCCGCGCTTCGGCATGGCGCTGGCCCCGCCCCTGCCAAGGGAGGGAGCCAATCAGAGCGCGCCGCGGCCTTAAAACCCCGCCCCCGCGCCGCGGCTCGGCCAATCAGAGCGCGCCTCCCCCCGCACCGCGGCGGCTAATCAGCGCCCGCCGTGCCTCAGCCTCGTGGTGACGGACCAATCAGAGCCCGCCGTGCCTCAGCTCCCGCGTCCAATCAGCGCCCGCCGAACCCCAGGCAGCGGAACCAATCAGCGCCCTCCGTGCCGGAGCCTCACGTTGTCCAATCAGCGCCCACCATACCGCAGGCACGCGCTGACCAATCAGAGCCCGCCGTACCCCGGCCCGCGCGGTGACCAACCAATCAGCGCCCGCCGCTCCTCTCCCGGTTAAACCCGCCCCCGCCATCCCTCGTCCAATCAGCGCCCGCCGTGCCTCAGCCACGCGGTGAGCGACCAATGAGCGCTCGCCGTACCTCAGCGGGCCCCGCGTACCCCAGCCCGGGCGGTTACCAGCCAATCAGCGCCCGCCGTACCTCAGCCGCACGCTGACCAATCAGGGCCCTCCGTACCTCAGCGCCCCCCCCAGTCCCGCGCTGACCAATCAGCGCCCGCCGTACCTCAGCCGCGCGCTGACCAATCAGAAACCGCCGTGCCTCAGCCGCACGCTGACCAATCAGCGCCCGCCGTACCTCAGCCCGCGCGGTTACCAACCAATCAACGCCCGCCGTACCTCAGCGCCCCCCCCACTCCCGCGCTGACCAATCAGCGCCCGTCGTACCTCAGCCGCGCGCTGACCAATCAGCGCCCGCCGTACCTTAGCCTCCTCCGCGCTGACCAATCAGCGGCCGCGGAGGGCGCGCGGCGGCGGCGGCGGCGGGAACGGGGCGCGAGCGGCTCCGCGCGCGCGGGAAAAGCGGGGCCGCGAGGAGGGGGCGTGGCCGGAACCGGAAACGCTGCCGAGACGAAGAGGAGGGGGGAGGAGGAAAAGGAGGAGGCGGCGCCGTGACGTCACCGGACGCGTACCGGGCGTGACGTCACCGGACGCGTACCGGGCGTGACGTCATGCCGACCGTGCTGGGGCTGGAGGGCTCCGCCAACAAGGTGGGGGCGGGGGTGGTGCGGGACGGCGCCGTCCTCAGCAACCGCCGCGCCACCTACGTCACGCCGCCGGGACACGGTGACGTCACTTCCCCCCCCCCGTCCCGTTCCCTCCCGGTTCGTCCCGGTGCTGAGCCCGGTGCTGCCCCCGCAGGGTTCGCCCCCGGCCCCACCGGGCGGCACCACCGGGCGGCGGTGCTGGGGCTGGTCCGGGACGCGCTGCGGGAGGCGGGAGTGGAGCCGCGGGAGCTGGACGGCGTGGCGTTCACCAAAGGTAACGGGGGTTACCGGGAACGGGAACCGGGAGTGGGAACGGGACCCCACAGACCCCCCATAGACCCCACAGGCCCCACAGATCTTCTGTAAAGCCCACAGACCCCACAGACCCCCCCACAGACCCCCCACAGATCTTCTGTAAACCCCACAGACCCCATAGACCCTCCATAGACCCCTCACAGACCCCACAGTCCCCATAGATCTGTTATAGACCCCACAGATCCCCCATAGACCCCCCACAGACCCCACAGATCTCCAGACCCCACAAATCCCCCACAGACCCCACAGACCCCCCATAGATCCCCCATAGACCACACAGACCCCATAGATCTGTTATGGACCCCATAGATCCCCCACAAACCCCCCATAAACACCACAGACCCCACAGATCTGACAGAGACCCCACAAACCCCCCATAGATCTGTTATAGACCCCACAGATCCCCCATAGATCCCCCACAGACCACACAGATCCCCCATAGATCCCCCATAAACCCCACAGACCGCACAGATCTGACAGAGACCCCACAGACCCCATAGATCTGTTATAGACCCCGTAGATCCCCCATAAACCCCCCACAGACCCCACAGATCTCCTCCAGACCCCACAAATCCCCCACAGACCCCACAGACCCCCCATAGACCCCACAGACCCCATAGATCTGTTATAGACCCCATAGACCCCCCATAAACCCCCCACAGACCCCATAGATCTCATGGACCCCCATAGATCCCCCACAGATTCCCCATAGACCCCACAGACCCCATAGATCTGTTATGGACCCCGCAGACTCTCCCACAGACTCTACAGGGGGATTTTGGGTGGGTTTCGAGGGGATTTTGGGTTTTTGGGCTCCCTGGACTCCCCCACTGACCCCCGGGGGGGATTTTTGGGTGGGTTTCGATGGGATTTTGGTCCTCTTGTGCTCCCGTACACTCCCTGGGCATTTCTGGGTGGATTTTTGGGGTTTTTGGCTCCCTGGACTCCCCCACTGACCCTGGGCATTTTTGGGTGGATTTTGGGGTTTTTGGGCTCCCTGGACTCTCCCATTCGCCCCCAGGGTGATTTGGACTCCCCCACTGCCTCCATGGGGGGATTTCTGGGGGGTTTTGAGGGGATTTTGGGGTTTTTGTGCTCCCGCACACTCCCATTCACCCTGGGCATTTCTGGGTGGATTTTTGGGGTTTTTTGGCTCCCTGGACTCTCCCACTGACCCCCGGGGGGGACTTTTGGGGGGTTTTGAGGGGATTTTGGTCCTTTCATGCTCCCGCACACTCCCATTCACCCTGGGCATTTCTGGGTGGATTTTTGGGGATTTTGGGCTCCCGGGACTCCCCCACTGCCTCCATGGGGGGATTTCTGGGGGGTTTTGAGGGGATTTTGGTTCTTTCGTGTTCCCGCACACTCCCATTCACCCTGGGCATTTCTGGGTGGATTTTTGGGGTTTTTTGGCTCCCTGGACTCTCCCACTGACCCCTGGGGGGGACTTTTGGGGGGTTTTGAGGGGATTTTGGTCCTTTCATGCTCCTGCACACTCCCATTCACCCTGGGCATTTCTGGGTGGATTTTTGGGGTTTTTTGGCTCCCCGCCGACCCCGGGTGTGTTTTTGGGGGGCCAGGCCCGGGCATGGGCGCCCCGTTGTCGGTGGTGGCGGCCGTGGCGCGGACGCTGGCGCAGCTCTGGGGGTGCCCGCTGCTGGCCGTGAACCACTGCGTGGGGCACATCGAGATGGGGCGGCTGCTGGGCGGCGCGCCCGACCCGCTGGTGCTGTACGCCAGCGGGGGCAACACCCAGGTTTGGGGGGAACAGGCAGATTTGGGGGGAATAGCCAGGTTTG